CACATACACACACACACACACACACACACAGCTCAGGTCAATCCTGTGACGCATACTACATGTATTACCCCACTGCCGAGTAAAGTTACCTCTAATGAAACTTGATAGCAGCAGGAAGTCCGGAGCTTATGGCAGCGAGAGAACAGCTTATTGCCCTTGGACTGGGAACCGATCACAATGAAAGTCATATTCCTTAATAATGTTTGCCGATAACAAAATGTATCTGCTCTATTAATTTCTGTTTAAAAAATTAGCAACAGAAACCACTTTCAAATCATCAGGAAGTAAATTAGACAACGTGCACGAAAGGGGAAAAAAAGAAATATACTGGTAGTAAGAAAGAAAGAGAAATAGATAAAAGAGAGAAGAAAAGAACAACCGATGGTAAACTGGCAAAAATTAGCAAGATCTTCAAGCACACCCCACGTCTAGCATGTTAAATAGAACCTCGAAAAAGGGACAACTGGGCTTTCTAAAATGGAAATAATCAATAGGTCTACGCCACTGAATACAGAACTCCAGGCCTACACTTTAGAAAGCAAACATCTCTGGCTCGTGTAAAAGGTATAGTAATATAGAAAATCGTACATTCTTAGTTTTAGTTCTCGCTTTAGTAAAGTTCTTCGGTACTTGGATCACAAATAGGTCACATAAGTGCCGAAGATTAGAGGTTATACTTTTAGTAAGTAACATATTAATATTTAAAGAAAAGAAGAAGGAGGGAAAAGAGCGGTAGCTGTTTGACACTATAACAGGAGCAATTAACGCACCAGAGCATCCACCGACCATCCAAGTAAATTCACATGACAGCCCTTCGAATTATTTTTTTGAGCACCTCAATCCAGAATAACTTGAAGCCATAAGGTAAAAAAAACAACCCTTTTCTTTAAAAAAAATAATTTAAAAATAGTGTAATAGAACACTAGCCCAAATCTCACTAAAGCTTCCAACGGTCCCTCTGTTGCTGTCCTATTGATTGCATAACCAGCCGCGGAAACGTAAATCATTTTAATACTATATGTATGTCTATGTCATGTATCTGAAGGTCTCTCTCTCTCTCTCTCTCTCTCTCTCTCTCTCTCTCTCTCTCGCACACACACACACACACACATACATACACACACACATACACACACAACAACAACACACACACACACATAGATACACACTCT